GCCAAAATTTAACATTTGTACCCATAACTATTTGAGAGTACTTATTCTTTCTTACTCACTATGAGACCTATAAATCTTTGCACAATTGCAAAACATTCTCAACTCCATTTCAGTGATCTATATCTAGGTGGACTTCTGCCAAAACATCCGGATACATGAACTATGTCAGGGTAAGTTCTTAATTATATGCACTCATTAAGCTTCCAACAGGTGAAGCATATAGGATGTCCTTTTGATCTCACATTGGTTCTTAGAACACTGAAAGTTCCCAAAACTATTACCCTTGACTATAGGAACAGACGCAGGTTTATTCACATATATACTTTATTTCTTTAGAATCTTCTCTAAGTATACACTTGAGATAGTTCTAATACCCCTTTTCCTTTTGTCTCGGTAAGTTCCAATTTCTAGAACGAATGATGCTTTACCAAGATCATTCTCATTGAAACTTGAGGACAAGAACTGCTTCTTCTCCAACAATAGATTAACACCACTACTAGCGAGCAAGGTGCTATCCACGTGCAGGATTAGGGAAATTGATTTCCCATGTTTAAACTTTGCATAAATACAATTATCCTCTACATTCTCTTTAAACCCAAACTTTCTTATTGTACTGTCAAACTTCAAGTACCAATGTCTTGAAGCTTGCTTTAATCTATAAATGGATTTCTTCAGGCAACATCCCTTATGTTCTTTTCCTTCCATGACAAAACCTTTTAAGTTATGCCATGTAAACTTTTCCATACAAATCCCCATTGAGGAATGTGTCTTTACATCTTTCTAATGTAACTGTAAATCGTAGTATGCCATTAACGCCATTATGATTCTAAAAGAATCATTACATTCTCATTATAATCTATTTCTTCTCTTTGTGTAAATCATTTTGCCACAAGTGGCGCTTTATAGCTTTTCATATTCCCTTTGGAGTCACATTTATCTTGCAGACCCATTATAGCCTACTATTTTGGCTCCATTGGGAATTTCTTCTAAGTCCTAAACATCATTGGTATTTATCGATTTCATTTCATCTTCCTTTGCTTCTTGCCATTTAGACGAGTGAACGCCTCTCATGGCTTTTTCAAATGAGGTGAAATTACCCTCCATTTGAATTTCATTCTTAATATTGACTCCTTAGTCACTAGAAATATCTGATTTTCTTATTCTTTGAGACCTTCTGGGGCCTCGTGGCACTTCTTTCATATGAGGCTATTGTTACTCTTCATTGCCAAAAGGCAATTGTTCTATAGCCTCCTGTATCACAAGATTCTTATTTACTTATTTATCTTCTTTAAGAGCTAACATCAGGTGTTGTATATGTCATACAACATCAACATGTATTAAGCAATTTGTTGCTCTAAAACACTGTAGTGGATATGTAATCCCACTTCTATTCAAGCCTTAGGTATCTACATAACATGCTCCCCCAGATTACTCTATCTTCTGTAAAGATGGTGTATCTTCAAATTTCTAATTTTGGGTTTAATCTGCTAAAAACTCATATGGCGCGTTTAGCACTGCCTTGATAACTCTGAACTCGTCTAGTATGAATACTAGCTGACTATGCCATCTTTCTATCGGAACTGTAAAAGGTCCAGGAATTTAGCTATTTCTTTACTTTAGGGGTATCGTTATTATGACCGTCTTACTCCCTCAACGATCACATTCATCTTTTATAGATCACTTTTACCTTCAATGCACAGTATGCATTGCATTATCTGAAGTATGGGGAAGTATCTTTCTTAATTAATCTTACATTTCTCCCCCTCAAAATGTGGTATGAATTTTTCTACCACAATTTCGAAACATTCAAAACTCTTGTGAATGAGGAAACTTTGATTACTTACTTCATCCACATGATTACATCATGCAAACAAAATTCGTATGGGAGTACATTTTCCTCATTTCATTTCAAAACTCAACATAGTCTATTATTATCAATACTTCTGTAAGTCACGCTTGCATATCATTCTTATCTTTTGGTTCACATGCAACTTTCTTTTGTTCTTAAACTCATTGAGTACTTAATGACCATGACACAATCAGAGTGTACGGTCAATACTAGGATAGCATAAGAGCTATCCCAAACTTCTCTCCATGTGCGGGATACACTTAGAGCACATGAGTCATCACATCCTTCTCCCGCCATGTGGGATAAGTATTATACCAAAACTCTCCCGCCATGCAGAATTGGTTAACATAAGTACTATGCCAACTTTACCCCGCCATACGGGTATTTTCTCAATCTTTTCCCGCCATGTGGGTACTATCACAAACTTTTCCCGCCATGCGAGATAATTCCCTTAAACGAACATACATGCCAGAATTGGCTTGTGTTCAATCATCAAATTCAGAAATAAATCCGAATATTCTTTTAACACACATGTTTAATCCAATGTTGGTCAAATTAAACATGTATATGACTTTTACAACTCTTATAAGTGAAACTGAAAATAAATTCTTCTTTACATAGAGTACATAAAAGACATTTCTCAATGAAGACTCTCATTGATCTATCTTTTTTCTTGGATCAATATCCTATAATTCTTTTCTTTTGAAGCCATTCTTTAAAGAGAACACAGTCCCTTAAACAATGGCATTCTTTCATACATAACTTGCCTTTAGGCATTTCATCATCTGAGTCATAAGTACCCAGCTCATTTCTCTTACTGCCTTCAAGAATGAAAGCATGAAGGTCTTTTGTCTAAAAAAATATTCAACAATAATGCTCATTAAACTTTGAAATCTTTATGTTCTATTCTATTTCATCGTTGGGCAGAAATAGAATAAAACATCATTCTTCTACATTAATTCCACATCACCATTAGGCAGAAATGGAATTAATGTATAGAACCTCAATAATCTTGAAACCATAGAACTGCTCCTCAGAATTAAATTCTCCCGTTGGTTCGAATTTAATTAGAAGACAATCAACTTCATTGCAGCAGAAACATGAAAATACATTTCTCTAGTTTAAGAGCATTCCTTGATCTTTATCTTTTTGTGAAAAATTGGTCACTTTGATGCAAAATTCATTAGAGATTTAAACTTTAAACATAGAACTCATAGAATTATAATATTGTTATTATCAACGTTGGTCAGAAAATAACAATACCATAATTCAACTTTAACTATCAACCTACTATTTCTCCAATTAAAATTTTCCCGTTGGTTCCAATTTTAACTGGAGGATTAACTTTTCATCATTTACTGAATAACTACAACTGCCCTTCAAATTAAATTCTCCTGTTGGTTCGAATTTAATGAGAAGATAATAAACTTTAACTTCGCAGCGGAAAAAAGAACTCATTTTCTTGAAATTTACCCACAGGGAAAATTACTTTTTCTATTTTCTTTTTGAGCCAATTTCCATTTTTCAATTTTCTGAAAAAAGAAAAATACGAAAATCGGCTCGTGGGCTCATTGTGACTATCTTGGCCCAAAAACCAGCAAAAGCCGGCTCAGCCCACCTCTTCGCACGTGCGCAGGCCGCACCCAGGCCGCAACCTGGGCCTAGGCCGGCAAAGTCGCTCGGCCGCGCGTGCGCCCGCCTGGGCCGCGTGTTGGCCCTCTCTATCTCGGCCGTCCGCGCCGATCCGTTTAGATCCGACGGTCGAGCGGTGAGATCGGGTGAATAAAAAACCCGCCGACGCCGGCCTGCTTAGAAACCCTAGCTCACTTTCTCCTCTCTCTCTCTCTCTCTTCGTCCCTCTCTCTACTCTCTCTAGTACTGCAGCACCGAGCGACGAGCAGGCGAAGCAGTGGAGCAACGGCGCCATCGCCGGTCCCCTCGCTGGCGTGCGCGCTCCCCAGCGGGTGAGCACGCCGCCGTCGAGTGGCTTGGCCACGGTGCCTCTTTGGTCGGAGCCCGGCGAGCAGTGCCCTCGGCTCAGCCCTTTCTTTTCCCCGCGCACTGGTGTGACAGCAACGCTGCGCAGCGGCGGGGTAGGCCACCCCTTCCCCTTCCTCCCCTTCGGTTTTGCTTCTCTTTTCTATTCTCGGATTCAACCGATTGGGGATAGTTAGGGTTAGGGTTTCTTTTCTTTTTTAGGGTTTCACTGTTTTATCTTCCCCGTGATGTCTTCACGGGTTTGAGGATCAGTTTCCAGTTGAAACCATGTTTTCATCTCTATCCCAAAACCCGATCTAGGGTTTGGATGTTCCTTTTCTTCACTTTTCCCGAACCTGATCTAGGGTTAGGGTTAGAGTTTCTTTCATTCGAATCAAAATTCGAATCGTTCTACTTCTTTCTCTTTCTACCCCAAGATCTAGATCCACACCTAGGGTAACAACCTGGCTCTGATACCATTGTTAGATACTTTGGATCATCCGTGGTGTAGATCAGTGAGGTTTCATTTGGGTTTCTCATAAAAATAGTGTGTACAGAGAGGGACAGAGAGGGAGAGGAAGAGTTAGGGTCAAGCACGGACCATCGGTAGGCATTGAGGAGTCGGATCCGGCCATCACTGGTTCGTCGGTGAAGCTCTACGCACGGGCAGCGACGGTTGGTGTAGCGGTGGAGACCAGCGGTGGTGGCAAAGGCAATGGCGCTTCCGCCAGCTGGCAGTGCCTCCCTCACGATCGGACTAGGGTTAGACGGTGGGGTTGTGGCGACGGCGGTGAACCTCGTATCAAGAGCCGTTTTGCCCCACCTCCTCTTTATAGGCACTGTGCGACGGGGGCCTAATAGCCACTAGATGGCTGGACATCCCCGATCAGGACGCGGTCAAGGGGTCCGTCTCGACTGTTGGGTCCAGACGGATGAGGAGGTCGTTCGGCTGGCTGGTTGCTGGCTGGCTGGCTCTGTCACTCACGAAATCATTGTTCACGCCCTGCCAGAATAGTATTTTCCTCTCACAATAATCAGCCGGAACAATATTTTTCAGTCCTGTCGAACAGGGCCGAGATCAAATCTAACAAGTCACCCCCTTGGCGTCCTTCTCGTCGGGGTCCACCATGTGGAGCTGCCGGATGGCGTCCTGACCCGGGTCCGCCAGGATCGGTTACGTCACCTTGTGCTTGCTGCCGCCGTACGCCTCAATGTCCTTGGTCCACTCCCTGTGCGACTCCACGTCATCGCACGAGATGCCCAGCAGCTTCACGCCACGCTTCTCGAACTCCTTGGCGTACCCCGCCATCGCCGCCATCTCGGTCGTGCACACCGGCGTGAAGTCGGCTGTTGTGTCATGACATGCATCAGTACAGAGATGGACAGAATGTGCGCGCATGCAAGCATATGGCCGAGCGAGCGTATAGTACCGGGGTGGGAGAAGATGATGGCGTAGCCGTCGCCGACGTAGTCGTGGATGCGGATGTTGCCGTGGGTGGAGTCCAGCTCCAGGTTGGGGACGGTGTCGCCGATGGTGAGCCCCGGCATGGTGCCGCCGATCGAAGTGCGCTGCGAGCTTGTACCACTGTGAGTAGCTAGCTAGCTTGTCGATGTTGTTGTCTTACAAGAAGACAGCTGCTGACGACTCCACGCAATGGAGACCTCAGTGAGAGAAGAAGGAACTGATCGAGCGTGCGCATATATATCTGGCGAGATCGGAGGTGGACGGACAGAGCACGTGGAGAAGTGGCCCCCAGGCATGGTGCATGGGCGCCGCGTAGCTAGCCTCGTGGCACCTGCGTCGGCCTCCGGCGCTCAGTGCGTTTGACCTGCCACCAGAGTTTTGTACCGGTGGCGAGTGCCAGCAGGATTTGGTTTGTCCTAGAGATGGGCTGTATTGCAGTAGTTCGGCCCATGCAACAATGGGCTCAACTAGTTTTTCGAGCCCAATTCAGTTTTGGGTGGAATCTCTCTTAGACGGGCTCTTTTGAACTCAGATGGGCTAAAACCTCCTCACTCTCAAAAAAAAAGATGGGCTAAAACCAGCTAAGTGGCCCCCCCCCTTTGTGCAAGCATGTAGGTACAGCCAGCCCACTCACCAAAACACCATTACTGCTGCCTGCAAATGGTCATCGTCATCGATCATCTCATCTGTGTGGTGTGCATGGGGGCATCCCTGCTGAAAAGGTTTGCACTTTGTAGTTTGCACCCTCCTCTTGATGTTACGTGCAACCAAACGGTGGGCATCAAGTGAATGCCAAGAGCCCTAGACGTTCACTTCACCCAACTATAACAGGTACACTCCGTACTCCACTGAAACGCAACTTCAGCTGACAATGGATAATGGAGTCCACACAAGCACGACCTTTTTATTCATCCTTTTTGAACGTAAAACAACCCTTTTTATTCAGCAACGAAACAAAAAAAGGGGCGTCCCCAACAGCGATACAGCGTCATGATTCTTCGCCCTGTTCGCTTAACTTATAAATTATATTTTTTCAGGTAACGAATAATATTTTTCTCCCACAACAAATCAGCCAGCAGTATTTTCAGCCATGGCAGCCAAGCGAACAGGCAACTTATTATCCCAATCCGGAGACCGGAGTTTGACAGTCATCATCAGACGTCGCAAGTAAGCCACAGCGGCTCATCGAACTGGCCCAAGGTGTTCTCCCCGGGGGGCTAACCCAACGCCGGCGACTCGAGCCGAGCCCGGTATTTGGCGCCCCCACGCCGGCATGCCATTCTCGTGGCGTTGCAGGTGGCGGCGCGAGCCCGAGCCCGTCGAGGCGGCACAAGTACAGGTCCCCGTGACTGGTGGAACTGGTTGGCCCCGAGATGGGCTCCTCCCACGACGCTTCCAGTTGGCCGTGAACAGCAGCCCACTGCGAGTCGGGCTGAAGCACACGTGGTTGATCCGATCCTTGTCCACCTCCCGCGCTGCCCTCGGGCCCGCCACATACACACTGGCGCAGCCGGAGCCGTCGGGCCGCACGGTGTAGATCTTGAACACGGCGGGTTCGACGGGTCGTGCGGTTCAACGAGAACGCGATCGGGCTCCCGTCCGGCGACCAGCTCGCATCGTGTCGATCCACTCGCCTCCGTCACCCGCGGGACGCCTCCGTCCTCGCCCCGCCGCACCGCCGTGTCGACGACGTACATGTTCTTGTGCCCGGTCCGGCCCGACCGAACACCACCACCGTCCGCATGGCGACACCGCGCCGAGAACGCGTCGTTGTTGCCTCCGGCCGGCCGGTCGTCGGCGCCGCGCCGTCGCGCCGATCACCTCCCCGCGGTCGTCGTCCGTGAGATCCAGACCGTCGCCTTCGGGGTCTCGAAGATGGGGCCCATGGACGTTAACACCACCTCGGGCTCGGTGGGGATCCAGGTGGTGTAGAACAGGTTGGGCTCCTTGCTCACCGTCCACCGTCTGGACCCGTCGGAGCGGAGCACCATGAGCCCGGCGTCGTGAAGAAGTCGCCGTTCACGGCGAGGTGCACCGCATCGGGCGAGAAGGACGGGAACGTGCCGTTCACGCGGAGCATCCGGAGGGACGGCACGGGCTCCGCGACCGCTACTGGTGCGGGACTGCGAAGTCGTAGGGGCCCCGCGCGCATGAACCGGTGGTGGTACCCGACGCGCGCGCCCGATGGCGAGAAGAAAGGGTTCTAGTGGTGGAGGCCCGGGTTGAGGAGCTCCGTGAGCGGGGAGAAGCGCTCCGTCTCGAGGTCGAACAGCTCGACGTGGCACTGCTCCCAGCCCTTCCGCCGCGTGGCGACCACGATCCACCGGCCGCCGTCGAGGGCGGCGGGTGCGTTCTTTGAACGCACTAGGTCGTTAGCCTTTGATAAGCAGATCCGCAAGTACTTGCTTGATACTTATATGCTCAATGCTTTTAAAATAATTCTAGATTTTCTCCTTTACAACATATAACTTAATGTCAATGTGTTTGGCAGCACACTTGACATGTTATCTTAGGAGTTAACTACTTTAAATGGTTATTGCTGTTGACTATCATTGTTAAATCCGGGTACATATTCCCTTAACCACTTTTGCCTGTTCCTGAGGCCTCATGACAAGCTATATTATGGTATGCATCATTAATGACACCATAATTGTTTCATTGGAGCTTTTCCACAACAATACTCCAACTGCGAGTGTTAGCAACTACTGTGGATTTCCCTACACATCTCGCTAAAACTTAACTTTTGTACCCATAACTATTTGAGAGTACTTGTTCTTTCTTACTCAGCATGAGACCTACGATACTTTGCAAAAATTACAAGACATTCTTAACTATATTCCAGTGATGTATGTCTAGATTGGACTTCTGCCAAAATATCCCGGATACGTAAGCTACATCAGGGTAAGTTCTTACTTGTACATTCATTAAGCTTCAACAGCTGAAGCTTTTGAACTTTGTTCATTTGATCGATCTCATATCGGTTCCTAAAACACTGAAAGTTTCCAAATCTGTTACCCTTGACTATAGGAGCAGGCGTAGGTTTACTCGCATGCATACTTTATTTTTTTAGAATCTTTTCTAAGTATGCCTTTGCGATAGCCCTAATACGCATTTTCATCTATCTCGGTGAATTTTAATTTCTAGAACCAATGAGACTTCACTAAGATCATTCACATTTGAAACTTTAGGACAAAGACTTCTTCTTCTCCAATATCAGATTAACATAACTACAAGTGAGTAGGATGTCATCTATACACAGGATGTGGAAAAAGAATTTTTCATTCTAGAACTTCGCATAAACGCTATTGTCCTTCTCATTTTCTTTAAACCCAAACTTTATTATCGTTTCATCAACTTCAAATACTACTGTCCAGAGACTTGTTTTAACCCATAAATGCATTTCTACAGGCGGCATCCCACACGTTCTTTTTCTTCTATGACAAAACCTTTGGATTGAGCCATGTAAATGTTTTCATACAAATTCCCGTTGAGGAATGCCGTCTTTACATCCATCTGATGTATCTCTAAATCGTAATGTGCCAATAACACCATTATGATTCTAAAAGAATCCTTGCATGAGACTGGAGAGAAAACTCTCATCGTAATCTATTCATTCTCTTTACGTAAAGCCTTTTGCTACAAGTCATGCTTTATATCTTTCCACATTCCCTTTGAGTCACATTTTGTCTTGTAGATCCTTTCACAACCTAGTGTTTTGACTCCATTAGGAATTTCTTCTAAGTCCCAAACATCGTTGGTATTCATCGAATTCATTTCAACTTCCATAGCTTCTTGCCATTCAAACGAGTAAACACTTCTCATGGCTTCTTCAAATGAGGTGGGATCATCCTCCATTTGAATTTCTTCACTAACTTAGACTTCATAGTCATCAGAAAATTGGTTTACTAATTCTTTGAGACCTTCTAGTGGCACTTTTATGTGGGCTCTTGTTGCTCTTCATAGCCAAGAGGCAATTGATTCTGCAGGCTCCTGTATCACAAGATCATTGTTTACATTATTAATCTTCTTCAAAGAGCCAACAACAGGTGTTATATAAGTCATACAACATCAATAGGCATCACGAAGCTAAAGGAACTGATGTGATGTGCGGTGTGCTGCCTGTGGAGAGTGATTCACAACACCCTCGTCATGTTCGGCCCTTTCTTCGAACGTGGATTTTGGGTGCCGGCACATCCTTTCTTTTATGGCTTTTTTTATTTTTATAAGCTTCAGACGCATAACTTGAACACCCTAGTGACATTCAACTAGGATGCGATTAAAATTGGATGAAATAACAACCACTCTCGATACATAATTTTATTTAATTGTTTCATAACCTTTCCTTAGTATTTAATTCCATGACTCAACAATGTGGCGGATGTGGCGGCAGCACAACTTGGGCTTGACAGGCTCACTAGGCCATCATGCCAGTCTGGCCTGGCTAAGACAATGCAGGGCCATACCTAGGCCGAAGGCACATGGCCTGTGGGCAAGCTCGACATGACACGATTAGTAACAAGGCTGTGCTGGACAGACTGCTATCGAACCGTGCTACTTATTTGGCCACCTATAGCTAAGGCCAGCGGCCTAATCGCCATTCTGATCCTTCAATTTCTTGGTATGGAACTTACTAGTGCTTTGTGCTTGCATTGAGTTTGATACCGTGCATACAGAGCCGTTTAAGTAAACTCAAGTACAATTGTATCTAAACAATATAGTGCACTTAATATAAATCTCTCATCCGTATAGTTTAAATCATTGACTCTTAAATATAATTTGTACTTAAATGGCTGTCCTTGCTCGATCGTTTACGTACCAAACTGGACGTGAACAGTTAAGTTATCCCATGGTCGGCCGGGAGGGAGGGGAGGTAGTAGTGGCACACACGTTATGGCCCATGATCGGGGAGGGGTGGCAGTGGTACACGATCAGTGAAGAACTTTTCCTGTTTTTGTCTGACATTTTCCGTTTTTCTCTCTCTGGACACAGGAGATGGGACGAAATAATTTAGATTCGCTGGATCCAACCTCCATACAGGTTGGATCGAGCTTGATTCTTCACAGATACCATCTCGCAATGTGCA